AATAAGAACCAAATTTAAAGTAAATTTGTGTATTTCATTTATAATTTTTTGATACAACTAAGAATTTTTAATCACTGCAAATGACATAATATTACCACTAAGTGTTGGAAAAACACGATATACATCTTTTTTATTAATTTATTCCATGATCGTTTTTTAATGAATAGTTTAATTTAAGCACTGAGATTACGTTTATGTAGGTGAATGATGGAGTTTATTGCATGAAGAAGTCTTAAGCAAAGATGGCCTCAATCGTATATACGAAAATCTTAGTACCTCTCATCATTATATTTGATATTATTAACACTAAGATAAAGCATTAGATTAGTTAGTGGCTGCAGCTTATCAAAACTGTTAAATTACGTTACTTTATTTCCTAGTATTACACAGTTGACTTATTTAGTACCAGGATCATCCTTATCATCGAGATTGACTATTGCTGATTCAAAAGAACGTCGGCCATTGGCTGGTAAAGCGTATCTCACAAGAACTTTATGAAAATGAGGGATTCCTTAAACATTTGCATATTTGATGAGGTCACAATCTTTGATAGCTATGTATGGCAATTTCTTATGAAAAAGTATGTGTCTTACCTTTCAGCTTTCTAGGTCTTAAATTTAGAATTAAGCTGTTTTTATATGATTTTTAAAAGAAGCTTTTTTCCAAGTAAAAGCTCTTCTATTTTATTGTCATGAATTTTATTATGCTATTTTCGAGTGACTTTAGCATCTTTAGAACCCCTGACAACTTCAGTAACACCATAAGTAATAGCACCTAAATTACTTGAGTCGGAAAACGCAGAAATAAAATGTAGTTTAAATTCACCAGGTCTGGGAATGTAGACAATACTTGTAACTTGTAGTATGAAACGATTTCATGACAAGTTCAGATTCCAATTTCATGGCGATGGTGATGGTAAGAGTAGCAGCTTTTAACCCTTTACTAGCATCTTTGGTGTCGAATCTTTGCCATGCCTATTCAGAAAAATGTTTTTAGAATTTTTTTCTTGCCTCAATATTTTCTTAACTCTAAGAATAGGCTATATTGTGTTGTTTTCAAGCTTGATCTAATACTTAAATATATGTATCCCTGCATACTAATCTCTTGACTGAGCTTAAAAATATCAGTATGGCACTATTTATAGTCTTACATTTTAACAAAGTCAGTATACAGTCAACGCAAGCTTCAAATAACAGAGTATTAAATCTTTTTTGATGAGTTTTAACTAACTTATACACGAGATTGAGAAATACGGTAACAAAGGAGCTCAAAATGCATACTATTTGAAGTGTTATTTTTTAGTTTTAGTTAAGTCAGCATACAGCGAATATAAGCTCTGTGGAACATAATATTGAACTTTCTGTCGTGAATTTCTACAAAATCATTAAGCAAGGTCAGAAAATAAGACGCCATGGTGTCATATCTCCAAAACAAAAGAATGTTACATCCTTTTTTTGCATGTGACGTCACAAGGGATTGGCTGCTTCTATCATTGTCAATTATTTGCTCATATCCCAAAGCAATTAGTCAGAGATTAATTATATCTCTTAGTGACATATTAACAACATGAACTGAATGTGAGGTACATCTACAGTGATTATAATGATACTGGTGTCATGTTTAAAAAATTTAAAAAATCGTATGTAAACTGTTGGGAGTCATTGGATGGGATAATGGTCAATACAGTAAGGGTTATGACTGTTTTACTATGAATATAACTCATGCTCCTTAAGTATTTAAGATCTATTGCAAAGCATTAGGTGGACAACAAAAATTCCGTTCGCAAGAACAAACACATTCTTTGTCAAGTTGAAAAAGCAAGAGAAGCTGTAAGACGTAAGCATAAATTGTTGAAGTCAGGCAAAACGGACTTTGGAAAATGAATTGAAAAGACTATTTCTAATTCACTATATGCAATCATCTACATTCACATTTATGTTCTAGTCAGCAAATAGTAACAGTGATCATAAAGACAGTACTGTTTCGTTAGATAGCACCATCAAAGACTATGATAGCTTTATTGAAAAGAGTAATGATGACGACAATTCAGTACACGATAGCAGTAAAAGTTTTCTTTTAACGTGCCAAAACTAGATTAAAAATGTAGGATAAGAGAAGAGAAAAACCGGTGGTATAAACTTAGTATATACTCGGATAATGAAGAAGTTACTAATACAAAAAACTCCTAATAAAAAGCAAATAACACCATATAATTCAGCCTCATACAAAAAAATCTTGAAAGCTTTAAGTGCGTTTGAAAGGTAATCAATTTGAAATAACTTAATTTATCCAAACAATACTAGCAATTTAAATATTTTATCCCTGTATCTAATTATACACCAATAAAGGGGTAAGGTGAGTCTAAACCTTCGTTTAAAATTGCTAAGCTTAGAACGCAAATGTTCTACATTTATTGGGACTACCCTAACAAACTGATCAGTTGACTTAGATTACTAGCGGCAGAAAAGTTAGCTGCTAATCTTAGTCATATTTATACAATAAATCTAATCGCTGGGAAGATTTGTGAAACTAATATTGTATATGAAACTTAGTTATTGATTTGACTTGAGAATCAATGTAAACATCGACGTATTTAGACGCGGATCAGCTAAGTAAAAAAGTAGTAGTCTAGGTCCTCGAGAAATCAAGTATAAGCTCACCACACGTGGTTAATTTGGCAATTGGGCTTGGAAAACAAAAGATTGTGTGATGTTGTGTTAGCTGGTCAACCTTAGAAAGCTTAAAATCTCACTCACTTACAGTAAGAAAAAAGTTTAATTTCAGAAAAACAAAGGAAAGTAACTTTCATATTGAGCAATTTTAGTGATAAATTCTCGGAAACAATACTCAATTTGCAAAGTAAAATACAGGAGCAGACATCTGACATAAGTTACAAAGACATTTTAAAAGAGATGAGATGAAAGTAGAAGTAAAAAAACTGTACAAGGTTGACAGACACAACTATCTCCTTCAAAAGCTCGATCTCTGTGACTTTGATGAAACATGCCAAGCTAATTTCGTAGAGATCATACCTTTCGCTTGTAAATATAACAGTAATAGATACTTGCTCACAGTCATTAATGTATTTTCAAAGTTTGTATGGGCTGTTCCTGTAAAAAACAGAACTTGTAAAGATGTAAATGCAGCTATGAAGTCAATATTAACAGATAAAGAAGTTTCAACTGATTTCGTAGCAGATCGTGGTAAACAGTTTTACAGTGCGAATTATGGAAGTCTCATGCAAAGATACAAAATTAATTTGTTCTTTACTTATAGTTACCTCAAAGCATCTCTGTGTAAGCAATTTAATTGTGTAGTGTAGCATGCTACATAAAGAAAATTCAGTTGAAAAAGTAGCTATAAGTGGATTGATATTTGACCTAAGTTATTGGTGACCTCTAATGATAGGAACGTTAGCTATAAAATCCAAGAAAGTATCAGCTGCTAATTCAAACAGTAGGATCAAAAATTTAATACAAAAATAACATGAGAGAAGACAAAACCTAATTTCAAGTTGGGTGACAGACTAAAAGTAAGTAGTATGAAGCAAATATTTAAAAAATGGTATATACAAAGTTAATCTACCGAAATTTTCACTATAGTACGAGTAGCTCCTACGAGCCCACCAACAAATTATCAAGAAGATTATCAAGAGCATTTAATCTCTGGAGCTTCCTATGAACAGTCACTCCAGTAATCCAAAGATCCAGATATTTGTCTTGACAAAAAAACCATAGTCATCAAAAAAATTGCGTTTTTTCTAAATAAATAGGTTTTAACAAAACTAAAGAGAAAAGGATTAATAAAAAAGATGTATATCGTGTTTTTCCAACACTTAATGGTAATATTATGTCATTTGAAGTGATTAAAAATTCTTAGTTGTATCAAAAAATTATAAATGAAATACACACACTTGCTAAGGTTGGTACCTTAAAACCTGCAATAGAAAATTTTTTTTTCTTTAGATCACAAAATAATAATAATCATGACATTAAAAAAACGTGGTTACTTTCCAGTCAGATGGCAATNGTGATTAAAAATTCTTAGTTGTATCAAAAAATTATAAATGAAATACACAAATTTACTTTAAATTTGGTTCTTATTTAACCCTAAAATAATTACAAAATTATGCATATAAAATATAACTTAAGTTTTCTTAACATATAGAACTGGTTTTATTTTATTTACATGTCTTTAAAATTTTATTAAGTAATTGTCAGCTTCTAGTACGACATGTAAATCCGTGTTAAAGAAAACATTTGAAAATCGTTGTGCAACTTAGCAACAATGTTTATCTTATACTGCGTATTAACTATCTTTAGTATTGTGGGCATTAAAATGTGATCATTTTTCACTTTTCTTGGTTTTTTCGTGGGGAGATATTGACCACTTGCGATACGATTTAATTTATCAAGATTGAAAACAAAATATCAACAAGCTGGTGCAAGTTAAAAAATTCATTGATAGGTTATTAAGACATGCCACTTGGAGCATTTAAGAAATAATCAGTGCAAGGAATAGTTTAACAAAGAAATATATGCTAAATATTTAGTAACCTTAAGTTGATTAAGGCATATTATTCAAGATAGTTAAACAAGCCTTTCAATATGCTGAGTGTAATTTTTCTAGAACGCACTATCTTTCTGAATTATTTTCAATGATAATTCTTTTTGGAGTTGTTGACAAATTAAACTCAGTCAGTTTCTAAAGCTTCAGATATATAACTTTCTCCCCTCATTTGACAGAAATTCAACTTGTTCATTGGTAGATTTTTCTGCAGTGCTGCCTCTTTAATGTGTGGTTTCTCCGTCTACTTTATCTTTTTCATTAGTTGATCTGAAGATGATGCTATAGTGGCCCCTGGGTAAAGTGTCTGTTTGATCACACTGCAGATAAGGCAAATTATCATATGCACTCAGAGTAATTTTATTTTTTTTTTCTGCGAAGACTCTATGATGACGTTATAAAATACTTTTCTGCTGTTAAGGATCACTATTATTTTCACACTGACATTTAATATAATCATCAAAAGTGTTTGCAACCTGAGCAACGTTAATTTTTTACACCTTTTGCTTCTCTTATTAGCTACTGACTTTGTATTTTCATACTGTTCATCTTACTTCTAACTTCCACAAATTTAATATAATATTTTAATGAATTGCATCTTTCTTGAGACCAGCAGTTTTATTGTTTTATCGTTTAATGTTCATCAAACTATATTCAGCATAATCTTATGTATCAAATTCTTCAAGATTATCACTTATGACTTTATACATATTGATATCAATTACTTTGTCTAAAAGACTATCAGAAAATATTATAGAGTAGCTTAGATGAATCCAATCCAATACACAAACTTTTATATAGACATAAAAAAATCTATAAACACTTATTTTGAATCAGTCTAAGGTACATTATTAAGTATTCATAAGTTTTTTAATGCAGATTTGAGTACGTAACAATTGCATTGCCACAAGCTTATAAAAGAAGATATCACAGCTAAAACAGTTTGGTCTAGCAATAAGTGCTTCTGCACTATATCGTCTTTCTTATTCTGTAGCAAGTCTCATATCAACTTGTTTTTGCTGATTTCTCATCGTTTTTCTTTAAACTGCGTTGTTATACAATTTTAATAACATCTTCTGCCAAGTAGAGATCATGCTTTAATGCAGGTTGTAGTGCTCAACAATGTGTCACGTGGCAATCCCTGTCGTAAGAAGAAAACATTAAAGTTTGGATCCTACTGGCGTTTAATGTTCGGCGCAAAATAGTAAGTCCTTATGTGCACTAAGTAGCTTTTCTAGAAACTTGGAATTTACTGCTATAATGTAACTAATTTAACATCATCTTTAGCGTTAGTAATACCCACCTGACTAATATTTGGTGTCCATTTGACGAGGAAAAACATTCAATACACTACTGCTTTTTTTAAAAATACAAATATATAAAAACATCATTCTGTCTTTATTTTGCATACAACATCACTTATATTTTCTTTATTTACTTGATATAACTTATGTATGTTTATTGCCTCAACTTTATAATACTAAGCGGTAAACACCATTTACTTTTTCAGTAGACAAATCTAATTCTCTTTGATGATAGAAAAAGATCTGAGCAGTTCATGCCACCATGCAGTTTTATATTTACGCATACCGGACTAGTATGTTGGTGATTTTAGCAGAGGGCGTCAGAGAGAGGGCTAAGTTAATTGGAGTTATGAAAGAAACAACATCTGTATACATGCAAAATGTATATGCCATCTACTGCTTACGTCTACTATTTTATACGATATGTGGTATACTTTTATTAACTGAAGACTCTTTTCTAAGCTCAGATTGTCAGCTTTATAAGGCACAACAAGTCTTAACCATAACATGAACAAATTGATAGTGAAAAGGGTGCATAGTGCTAATTTTCCAATATACCCTTTACCATTTTCTCTGCAATCAGACTACATAATTTTTTAGCAGATTATTTGCTTAAGCACTGTAGTTCTTGTTACAGTTGCTTATGGATACTCCAAAATAAATGTTTTTAGTAAGTATCGCGGTTGCTGCGATCAATGACAAGTTACTTCATGTGAACTCCTTGAATCTGAATATGTTGCCATAAAAATTCTTTTAAATAGTTTGGCACTGAAATAATTACGATGTATGAAGTTTCAAGTAAGAACTTGAAAAATGACTCTGATATTAAAGCTAATGGACGTTGTCATGAGTGTTATTACACGAAAAGAGATTAATTTAATGGTCCCACATCAATAAAAAAAAAATTGTTTAATACGTAGTCTGAAAATGACTGTAGATACTAGTGACAAAAGAACCTTTTGAGTCAATATTAAACATTACCACATTTAGCTTTTCTTAACCTTACAGCAACTACTTCAATCTAATAAAAAAACAGCTGCATTAGAAAAAAATACAAGTGCAATACAATAACAGCAAAGTCAGAAAAAAGATACAAGTGTATTTCGGCCCTGCAGTCCCCTCTCTTCAAACATGTGCAAAGCATACAAAACTATGTCTTGTACCTATGTTATGCGCCAAAGCCTTTCCCGAGGTTTTATGCATACAGGTAATTTTTCGCATGTAGAGTTATAATTATAGACTCTTTAAGTTATGAGTTATACGTGAATCATTTCTTAGCAGATGCTATGGCAGTTGCCTTAATAAAAGCTGTGGATTCTGATAAAGATGCTGCTATGGATCTTCTTAAAAATATTGCTGATAATGTAGTATCTACAGTGAATTTCTCTGAAAAAAAAAAAGAAAATCAAATAAAAGTATTTCATAGTGAATTCTACCAGCATCTAAAGCTATATGAATAGAGGAGATATTAGCTGTTGAATTGCCAATAACTGCTTTAACATCATCTGTTCTGTGGTAAATGGGGCGAAGTTGAAGGTTTAAAATTGTGCCAGAACCAAATAAAGAAAAACAAGGAGAAGAAGGAGAAAGCATTCCACCTACGCTAAATTGAGCAGTGCCAACAGTAGCAGCAGTAGCAGCTGATTGGGATAATATTTTAATACTTACACCAGGTATATGGTAAGAAAAGAAGTTAAAGTGTATCTTTTACACCTTAATACGTTGGAAGTTCAAATACTACAGCTACAAAAAAATAGAATCAAGACATTAATTTTTAATTCACATTATTAAAATTTATTTGATTTTTCAGTGAACAACCACAGCCTACTACACAGAGTAAAGCTTGTTTGCTGGTTTCAGCATTAATAGTACTTTCAAGTAACTATTTTCTAACAAAAGCAAACAAATACAACAACCAATTGAGAAGAGTATGGATGACTTTGAAAATGCTGGTTCTGGATGGTTTTTTACGTTTAATTTTGAATTTAGTCATCAACTTCAATAAATTAAAATATATGCGAGGTAGCTGTTTTACAAACTTACCAGACTACATAAAAAAAAAATGCTTGTGTGAATATCGTTAATAAAAATGTAAAACGTCTCTTAAATTGTAGAGCATACGAAGGCGAGTGGAATTTAGATAATAGTGAGTTTTCTGTTGCCCCTAAGAAAATTTCTAAATCTGAAAAACAAAATAATGTTTTAAATAATTTATATTTTTTACAAAAAAATACTTATTTTATTTATCCTACTTGTTTATCAGAAAACAAAAAATAAGGTATTGTTAACTTTCCACTTGTTAAAAGTTCTTATATTTATGATATGGTTAACGATAGTTAAAGCGATACAAAGGACGATGCAAATACAGAGAATAAATATTATCATGCTTGGATTAAAAATTTTTCACGTTAAGAACTCAAACAGTTGTCCAAACATCAGCATATTGCAAACAAATTTAGTCTAAAGATAATTGTAAGACATAAAGATGATCACAAAAATATGAACAGTTGCGAAAGTATTCAATACCTACAAAGCGAAGAATAAGGCTATATTCAATGTAAAAATGTCTCCTTTATGTCATACATGGCACCATCTCTCTAGCATAATAAATAAAAACGTGAGAGATTATTGCCATCTGACTGGAAAGTAACCACGTTTTTTTAATGTCATGATTATTATTATTTTGTGATCTAAAGAAAAAAAAATTTTCTATTGCAGGTTTTAAGGTACCAACCTTAGCAAGTGTAATATAAATTAATATAAATTATCATGATTTACGAATGATACCAATAATTTTCTATATTTTAAGCAGTTATGGTTCTCAAGT